CTGCTCGTGTGGGTTGCGGTTTGGTCAAGTGGTGTTCCTCCAGACCCGATGAGCGCTGGTACTTGGAGGTGCGGTTCACTACGTGGGAGTGCGTGTGGGTACGTACTGACACAGGACCCCCGTAGGGAGTGATTGGAAATACGTGAGTAGTACCATGGTTACTGCACGCAGCGAGCCACCGTGAATCCCGGGAGAAACAGGCGTGTGTTACCTATCGTATAAACAGAGGGCAAAGGAGGAAAGTAGAAACTGAGAACCTGGTATATAGATAGAGCACCGAACGCAACTTCCGTACACATTTCTTGTAAGGATCCTAAGAATCCAGAGAATACATATCTATCAGAAGGATTGCAAATGCAAGAGATAAAAAGTTAGGAAATACTTAGAGGCAAGTTACGACAGGGAAGAATCAGTAGTCTACGCGTGTCTCTCAAACATGGAAATTTTCTACACAGGCTACATTAAACGTCTACATGTTAATAGACGGTCAAAGTTATTCGTTTTTTTTCCTGTTTTAATTAATTGAATGTATTCAATCCCTATTGTCTGGTTCACAAGAAGAGTGACTTCGTCCTCGACTGATTAAAATACGCGTTCTTTCATAACACCTCCGTCTCCCCTGGCATTTACTCAGATTTAAACAAAGGTGAACGTTACTGTTACAGTTAACTTTCTATCTTTACTGTACTATTTGACAGGTAACATTAATGGTGGGTGGGCCGGATCATTGTATATGAAGGAAGTGTACGGTGTGTAATCACATAAATGCATTTTGCTCGTAAAGGATAACGAATGTCTGTGCGTAAAAAAATCAAGATAACTACGCTACAGAGCAGAATTGAACTGCGTGGATGGGATTATAATATGGAACATTTGGAACGACGGGTCTGCGCAAATACCCTATTATTGCCGTACCTACCTGTAGCTCGTTTTGGATAGAGGCTGACAATACGTCAGCCCAAACTCAGCTGAATTCGATTGCTAGGCTCAAACAAGAAACTGATGCATTTGGAAGGAAAAGGGGAGTGATACCGGTGATTAGCAGGAATCTATCCTCAAAAATCGGGGTTCACCTCACTACAATTAATCCAAAGAGCTTGAACCTATCACGACACGCTGTCAACGTGGCTTAGATGGTGAAGGGCTGACAAGAGCAAGGTAAATATACTGAGAGGCTGGTTATGTTTTATGTAGATGCATGGCCGAGAAAAAAAACGCTTCAAGCTTGCTGCAAAAGAATCGAAAGTTGAAGAAACAGTTGGGGCGAGAGTAAGGTTGCACTGTGTAATCAAGGTCCGAAACAAGCGGGCATTGGAATAAGGACCGCAAAAACATTTTGAACTTCATTTTAATCAAATACGTGAGCTACCATCTTCCTGTGGGAGTGAGAAGATATAATTTATTGTTTTAAAGACACCCAATCCGTCAAGCCCCTGACAACCCTAGTTGAGGACTTTCACAGCCATTATAAGACGCATCAGAACCGTCAGTCATCCATACTGCCACCAGAATGAGTCTCCGCGTTCAGTGCTGGGTAGACTGCACCACCCAGCCTAATGAATGCGACTTTTATGGTTCCCACGCGCAAATTGCAAAACCTGGGTCCAAATATGATACGCTCTGTTACCACCGGAACATGGTTAGTATAGGAAGAGGGATTGAGCTGCTTACTCGGCAAGTCGGCTTCGCATCATGTGCTCTCTTGAACAGAAGAGAATGTTGTCACTCTCGACTGACGAGCTTTGGTGCCTTGGATTGCGTCGCTTAGGGACAAAAACTGCAGCTAATTATGACGATTCTTAGTATGACATTTCTTCAGTACTATATAGAGGCAGTTGCGGTGAAAATAGCCTTGATTTTCCTTTGTTTTAAGGAGAATGCCGTGGCTATTCCACACAGAGATTTGCAGCATGTCGAAGGCCCGGTTGGCCTTGTTTATCCAAACGGCCATCACTTTGTTAACTTCAATATTTCCCGAAATTATGCGCTTTATGGATGTGAAATGAATTTCGTCGACAATTGCGTTACGTCTGTCGCACTCATCAGTTGGCGCCAGTTGGTATGCAACTACTGCCTTCACCATACTAGTGGTCAGTTCAAAGTTTAAGTAATCAAAGGCAAAGAGGACAACGCCTCCCTCCCACTGCACGCCCCCGATTGTTTCTCTACTCAGAGCAAAATCCTGCGCTAACAAGAGGCCGTGAACTCTGTCCTTAGGCAGAACTGGACGAGTGAGTTCACTAAACGATGAAAGGACGTCCATTCACCAATGTTAACATTCCAGGTCGAAACCGGTAAAATAAAGAACCCGTGGCTCAATGACTAAAGCATTACAGTTCTAACCAACAGATCATCAAAGCCCCTGGAACCAAGAGGCAAGCCTGTGTATGAGTTTAGGGCTATGGCATTTGAAAAGTTCGGCAGGAATTGAGTTGGTACCCGCGGCTTTTCTTTGGACAAGTGTTGCATCGTTCTGTTTGTCTTCTGTGCATTTACGTGCAATTTGAAAAAATCAGTGGGCTTACTCATTGACTGTAGATAAGTGGTATGAGACATTGATGAAGTGCTTCAACCAGCGTCCCAGTGGCTGTGACTTCCGAAAATAGGGTTGCAACGTCTGTGTTTTGCTGTGACGAAGTCAACTGACTTGAGGGCCTTCGCAAAGTCTTGATGATCGCGAAGACATGCATAAAAGAGTTAGGAGACTGCATCGTTACATCGACGGACTGGGAAGCGCGATGACGTCATTTTGCATTTAGGATAGTTTAGCGGTAGAGCAAATGTGCAAATTAACTTGCACATGGAGTGTCATGCTACACAGAGAATATGGACATAAAGTCGTAAGTGTTACTAAGAAGAATTGAGTAGGGTGTTATGTAGCAAGCTGGATTGGGAAGTCTGCTGATTCGAACACCATACGTAACAAAGCAGTTTCCTTCGAGGTGTTGCCCAAGGCCTTTGACCGCCTCCCTCGCAAAGACTGCGACGCAGCGAGCGTTTCGTTTTAACGCCATCCTACAAAAGAGGGCTTCGTCGCGCTGGTTTGCTGGGCTTATTACGCGTTTAACATCGAACTGGGTTCTCGAAAATCGATCCCAGCGCCAGCAGGATAAATTGCCTCTGATCAATACTGTAATCTTAGCTGTTGGACTTCCGTAAAAAAGAGGAAACGAATACAACGCGGACAACAGTTCGAAGTATGGCAAGAAGTTTTTACTAGGGGACAGTTTTTGGATACGTCTCAGATCTTCAAGTCTTGCATAGCGACCTCGAGATGTAACTAGACGAAGGCAAGGAAACATTTAGCCAGAAAAGTTTACGTCCACGTTGACAGCCGTACAGCTTATGGCTCTTAATTTCGTCTGAGGATAGCGCTTCGCTGCTTTGGTTGTCCGACGTCATAAGACTAACATCCGCTTTTACTTTGAAAGTCCTCGAAGGAGGTCGGCTGAGGACACATACAACGTTCGCATACGTCGTCACGCACGTAGAAACGTCGAATTTAATAGACAAATTTGCAATCCACGTACGTAAAATATTTCTTTTCAAGAAAATATCTGGTTACCTTTGTCCCAAATAAAAGTGCGGGTTTCGCGATAAGCTA